TTGTGTTCTCTGGCGAACCTTAACTAAAAAAGTTACATTCCCCAACATGGCTCAGACCAATAATCAAAGGCTTCAAAAACTGCTGCCATATTTTAGTCTGGCTAACTCAAAACTTTCTTCCAGTCTACAACCACTTCATCTTACATTGTTTGGTCGTGCAGACGGTGACTAGGCATGCGTGACACACATTCTAGCCATCTGAGTCGATAAAAGTTCATCCGAAACCCTACGCCTAACTTCTGAATTACTCACCCAGTGGCATGAAGACACTTGTCCATGCTACAGAGACAACGGTAGTGAAACACCTGATGCCTTCTCATCTCCTCAATCTTCAGTGACCATGTTTCACAACCGTATAATAGAACAGAAAGAAATGTAGTGCAAAACACTTGGTGGTTAATTAGCGTCCGGAAATCCCGGTGGTTCCATAAATGACGCAAATTGGTTGGAGTTAGCGAGCCTTTTGCATCCATGGGTGGATTTTGTTGGTCACTAACCCACTAGGTCTGATCAGACTTCCTAGGTAAGTGAAGTAGTCAGTGTTCAACCATTGAACTTCTCATTGTTAAACTTGATTCCATCTCAGTCCTGGAGCAACAATTTACACTTCAGCTGTGAGAAACGCACTTTAGACTTCCTCAAATTATAACTCATTGTGTCCAGATGTCTTTGAATCTTGTGATTATCTTCACTTAACAAAATTATATCATCTGCTTACTCTGCGTCTACTAAAAAGCCTTCAACGACAAGCTATATTTCTGAAGAGTTATGTGAGGAGAGGGAGGCCTCCATAAACACTTGGATGAAAAAACTAAATAAGAATGGAGAGAGTGAACATGCCTAACGTAAACCACTTAACGTACACAATTCACTTGATACCACACAATAAGCTCTAACACAACCACAGGCTTTTGAATGAAAAGGCTCCAGTACGGTTGTATACTTACCCAGTAGCTTTTTCCGTGAAAGACACGGCAATAAAACCTCTTGAATGACGGAGTCGAATGCCATCTCCAGATCAAGAGATATGGTCAACGTTAGGGGATAGTAAGTGTGGCTGAGTTCCAGAACCTGGTGGAGAGTGAATTTCTGATCAATACGTCGATTAGAAGGTCCAAACCTACTTGGTTTTTTGAGAATCCGCAGTTCTTGTGCTTCACTTATGTGTATGTTGAACCTGGTATAAACCTAGGATCTGAGAAACCACATTCTTCAAACCGATTCCTTGCGTGGTCTGGTATTGTCCTTTTATTCAAAGATTGAAAATTACAACGTAGGTAGACATGAATAGATAGTTTTAGAGAACATATGTAGGGTTGAAGACCATGGAGGGCAGGTCGGTCAAATAATATCCGAAGTGTACTTCTTAGGGATTTCTCATCAAGCGTTATTGAGTTCCTACGGATCAATAAGTCCAGAGCACGTAGCCACAGACTCTTAAGTGGTTTCACTCGGATACAAAACGTCATTCTTTAAGTTGATTTCGCCATCTATGTACTCAAAATGTCCTTGAAACTGATAAAATAACTCTGTATATGGATATCCAGTGTTATGAGACCCCATAGTGGAAGTAAGCACTCGTTCAAATTACAATCAGCTTGGTGACGTGGGAAAGACAGACAGGGTTTTTGGCATTGAATGTCATATTGTGCTTGGGATGAGCTGTATTTCTTTGTACTTTGTTGATAAATTCATTCTCAGGTTGCATCTGTGTTTTCTATTTGATGATGGGCCAGTACAGTGTTTTTTCTTTGGAATTTTGAACGTTGTTACAGCAGCTGTGTGTGAGGCCTCTAGGTTCAAAGCGAGTGGCTATACTAACTGATTTAGTATCAACCGATTTGGAGAGCTTGTGACTTTTGAAATCTACCAATAATCCTAAATTTCATGAGAAATCAACTCACTGAATAGGTAGTGTGACTTCTTTCAATAGGAGTGATCAGATAGAGTCATCGAAGCCGAAATCCAAATGTAACATTCTTCTGTACCCAACAATACTAGATTTATTTACGGTCTGAGGAGATACAGTTGAATCAGGCTTTTGACCCTCATAAGCATCATGGTAGTATGCGACGGTATGCATTGTGATGAAACGTCGTATGATGCGGACAGATATTCGCTTATTCTTCTGATCGTCGAGGTGTTCATAACCTATTCTGGCTTCATCAGCTCAACATCTGATACATTTAAACTTATATTTCAACCACTAGTTTGTCGACGAACTGAGTCGAATATTTTTTGAAGTAGAATAGAATTTAGTAGAGCATACTTGATATTTGGGATGCATTCTATTAGTGGTGAAATAACTTACCGTGTTTAATGCAGGAGAATGTGAATATCTTGGCTTAAACATAGGAACATTCAATGAAACAGCACCCACTTGTTCTGAGTACACTGTATTATCCCATTCATTGTTTGAAATACATGTGTATTTGAGAATAGTACTCAACATCAAAATAAAAGAGAGTGTAAAAGGGAGGTAAAAGCAAAGCACTAATAGAAATTCCACATATGTGAATGAAATCTCACAAATTCCTGGCCATAAATCCAACAATTATATTATAACTCAGATAACTGAGACTACTTTGTCCTCTGTTGTACTTTCAATCCATGAGAAAGAGTCACTTTCCCTTGTATTCAGTTTTTCAGTTCCACACAAGCAAATCTGTCAGTTGGATGTTGATGCTCAGTTTGAAAATCTCTATGATCAGTTGAGTCCCCTTGTCCCTGCATCTTCAGGTAATCAAAGTGGGTTAAAGGCTAAATTGGTTAATATTGCTCATCAGTTCAGAAACAAGCCAAAAAAGCATTTTGAGTTCACAGCACTTCAAACCTGTGAAAGAATTACGGAACAGATCAGATATATTCATTCTTAAACCCGATAAGGGATCAGTTATCGTTATGGTGAATAAATCTGACAATAAAAATAAAACACTATCCATCCTCAATGATGAAAGCGGATTCATAACCGATTTCCCATCAGAAGATATTAGAAAATTGGGGCCAAAAGTAACCGCTCATTTAGTAAAGCTTTTGAATATGAAGCCCATTAGCAAAGAGGAATTTAATTCATCGAAACCTGACTTCAGCCATCTAGAAAACTTATTACGCCGCTAATCTTATCATTGTGGAAAAAACAAAACACATGCTTCACCAAAAACCAAAAAACCTCACCGATGATTATGTCACATCCCAATTTACATGTGTGCGTGATCACACATACGTAGGGAGGAGTAATTGAGTCATGCAGTTGAGGGTGGGAAAACATGTACCTAAATGGCTTCGAAAACAAATGGAGTATGAAAAAGTGATAAGCGCTGATGGGAGACGACCCTCTTCATTTATAGCTAAACATATCATAGAAACAGGTCACAAAGTTAGTGTTCACATAGCTTTCAAAGTCATAAATCGAAACAGTAAGGGACGTATTCTGAGGTTTGCAAAAGCTATAGCCATACACAAATTGAAATGCGTGATAGTTATCGACAGTATGTCTAGAGGATGCTTTCCTTTACATCGCTTACCACAAAAGTTATCCCATTTGTGCAACAGTAATTTGCAACATCAATATATAAGCACATACCAACTGAGTTTTTCCCGGATAAACAATTCTTATGTCTTGAAACCTCCTGACCAACAAATGATGAAGACAGTCACGACAATAACGAGACCAGAAGAAGAATGGAACTAAACATGAGAAGCTCTTAACTAATTATTTTAGTTAATCTGCACTAGATATTGTTTTCAGTAGAAATTAGACTCCACTACATTAAAATATGCACAGAAACGTTATGTTTCAGTTACGTAGAATAGACAACAACAATTCTCGTTTTACTTTTAATTTGAAGTTGGTAGCCGTCTAGGCAGATGTCGTATTACATTCGGATGAAGGAAAACAAAGTCAACAAGAAATGCTTTTCGCATTCTCGAATACCTTTGTGACATTATGGTTAAAATACGTGATAAACCATCATTTATACTGTACTGCGCAAAAGCTGGGTTGTAAGAAAATCAAACATCTTAGCTTAACTTTCGATGTTGCCATACTTTCTGCAGTAGTGTAATTTGTCTTTAAGAACGATGTGATAATCATAAAGTAAATCCCTTTATTGAACTGTAAATAAGGTACTGAATCAAACTAGATGTAGTACAAATATCTTTTGACTATGAGAATTAAAATGAAACTTCTGAAGGAAACTTTACCTGTTAGACGCCATCGCAACAAACAAAGGTACTACAACGGTATTTATGAATCATATTGAAAGTCATCCAGTCCAGAAATAAGTAGTGGACCAACCTCAACTAATGTCGTTGCATCACTCTTATAATGCGCATACTGGTAAAAACAAGATACCCACTTAGTTTAAAGTATTTTTTCCTAAGTCTCGAGTGGTTTCAGTAGTGTCAGTGGTGAAAAGGTTAAACTAAGATAAAGTTGACCACCCTTATACCTTAAAATATTCTATATTATATCATCACCTTCATCTAGTGGTGATATGGTTATGAGAAACATTGTTTATTGATGTTTCACTGTTGCTAGTAATTGCTTAAGCAAATATAACTGATAGAATTACTAACACAGCATTCCTTCACCATGGGTTGTTGAGTTTGCCAGTAATTAGAACATTATTGAGTATCATGATGTTCCGTTTGTTCTTGCTTCAACGAAGAATTCCCTAGATCTGGTTTATCAATTATTTCAAATTGTTTTGTTAGCTTGTCAAAATAATAATCAAACTGGAAGTGACAGGTTTATACTTCTGGGAATCAGATTTCTTTGCAATATTATCAAAGAAGAGGGAGTGGTTTATAAAAGGAAATTCATTTCATAAATATTTAGTTTATCAATAGGGATATATTTACTTTTTCACATGTTTATTGATCAATGAATGAAATGATATTTATTTAAATATACATATAACTGGGAAAAGAATAAGTATCACCACATTTTTATATATAAAGTAATCAAGTAGAAGAATTATCTTCCTTCGTTCCTCTGATCATCTAACTCCATTTAAGATAGTTCCATTTTCAACTTCGTTGTCTATATTATGTCTTTGCAGTGATATAATATTCCGAATATCTGAGGGATTATTCTCACTGTTATGCATAAGATATTTTCTGCGTTGTCCATGGTTGATATTCAGTGAATCTGTACTTATTGTTGAAGGCAGAGATGATATTGTATGGCTTTCATTTAAAGTGGTCGGGATATTCATGTTTGAAAATTGCTGCAATTGATGCTGATGACACATAGTTGACGTTACTGGTGTATGTTTGTCTGCATATGTAGCTGAACTATTTGTTGGATGATTAACAGATTGTGTGTCTTTATTTAAAAGTTTGAGAAGATCTGATAGGATTGTCTGAAAAGTATTCAAAGCACTGATAAGTGTTAAACCACCAAATCCGTGTGTAATGTGACTGAAATGTGTAAGGGATCTTTGAGTAGAAACATCAAGGCAGCTAGCAGATCGATTAGGTGGTAGGGGATTCATTGCAAGTGGACTTCTGTCTTTCGTTAATAAATCCGTGATTTCACCCAACAATTGTCTGAAAAAATCAGTTAAATAAATTACGTAACTTATTTCATAATCTGACAAATAGAGACATTGTATTCTCCTACAAGTTAGGAGAGTTAATATGCACAAAATAAGCATTGGAATTACTGGTTTTGATCTCTGGGAAGCAAACTGTCATGAATAGTCTATGCCTTCAGTTCTTTTAAAACAAATGTATAGTAGATCTTATTTCAGCAGTCCATGGTAAAGATTACTGCTCGCATTGTATCAAGTTCTGAGTACCACTTTGTTGTCTATCAGTAATAACCTTACTGTAGCTTTTTAAATCCGTTATTTGATTTGATAGATTTAATCTCAGTTCCAATGACGATATAAATCTATGAACATTTCAGACTTATTTTTCTAAATTATTAATTAAATAGGCATTAGACTGGTTCTTTACTTAGCATGGGAAAACTAACATTCAGTATGGCGGTGGATATTTCGAAATCAAGTTGAGTATGCTCTTGCAATCATATTACTGTTGAACTTTACATTTCAGTACTTCCATTAAGTCATGGAATAAAGGTTTCAACGAATAAATTTGTTTTCTATGATATTATAGTCTACAGTTTTAGAATCACGTCGAAGTATATTGATGATGGATAGTGGCCACAAACTACTAACGACTAGTGGTCAAAAATATTGGCATTTTCATTCACACTAACTATATTTAAATTGCACGTTGAAGTCTTTATTCTTTTATTTCCATACGTGAAGAGTCCAAATTAAGTCCAAGCTTTGTACTGAATGTAGCTGGACAGCGTCTTATCGAGTTCGATATTCAATGAGATCCTGTAAGTGGGGTGAAAAGCATTATTTATTTATGGGAAAGCAGTCCGTTCACAGTAAATGAAAGCAAGTTGACTAGTGGGAAACGAGACAGAAAATAACCTTTCATATCTTTTTATACTCCTGTGATTAGGATTATTTTGTTTTTCTTAGAAACTTACAAGTTGTAGCTTTGAGGTGAAAGATTTTTATATTGCATATTCCCTTCAGAATGGGAGAAACTGGAAATTTTCGCATAAAAGCAGATTCATTGCTGGCTGGAAAAATGTGTACCAGCAACATGAGTACCTCTTACAACCTCCATTTCATTTTTGCTTTATTAAGCATTAGATTATGACTCGACAATGCGGTTGAGATGACCTAAATATACGGTTGACGAAAATCATTTTTCAGATGACCGAAAGTTTACAGTGAACAACTAAGATTAAGCACCACCGTATTTTGCTTTTCAATCACCTAAACCACAGCTGAAGTTGTCATGATCAACACTGTTTGCTCGTGAAAGGATGACGCTTTTTGCTGTTTCGTGTGACACTTAAAATACAAAATTATCATCCATGACTGTTAATAAATGATGAAATGAAATTATTTCTATCAGTAATTGTAACTGAGCATAGTTTTCACACTTCATAGTTTCACCGTCTAACCCACTCTTGTGCATTATTCAAGATAACTATGCAGTTACTAGACGAAAAGCTGGAACAGATAAAATGTATTTTGATGTGTCTCAACAGTGACTAGTATCAATAAGAGAACCATTAGAGACAAATGAGAAATAAATGCCTGCTGATTCACTTGGGAATGAAGAGGGGTTTATATGATACCTTATTTAGGATTGGATTTATGCCTTCGTGTGTTATCATTCAGTAGTATTTTGTAATCTCGTAACTCGTACTCTACAGATTTAGTTAATTCTGTGTATTTTGAAGTGGTTATTCAACATCATTCGTAGCCTTCTTTGTCACTATCAAATTAGGTAAATCCCCCGATCCCATTATCCGACTGAAAATTCTTAGCCTGATAATGGTCTATGGTGTAAGTAATTTACAATTTTTTCGCATTCATTGAAATCAGTTAGCTACATAGTAAAAATATTGACTTACTTTGTAGAGATTACTTGGTTACGTCTCTTTTGTACATCACTAGAATCGCATCCATTCAGATTGCGTGAAAGATATTCAGCGCATACTCGATGAGGAAACTCATTTTCACACAGATAACTGAAATCGCGGGCCATTCGGATAGCTTCACCTAAAATTTTATTCCAAGACATAGATTGTTCATATAAATGAACTTTCAAATCGCATGGGTAAACTTTTGAATAAACTCTCGGTCCCATTTGTCTTGAGGACTACTCTACCTACCTTTTGTTTTAATATACTACTTGAGAGCACTTATTGCATTTAAGCTTTTCATTATCAACTTCTAACATCGGGAGTGTATCCTACTGACACTTGGTCATGAGCATTATCGAAAAACTACAATATGATGATAACAACTTGAAACTAATATTCAGAGTTCGTCTGTGTTACAGAGAACTTGGAAGTGTGGTACGTTGCTTTTTGTTTTCAGCTGTTAAGAATTAGCGTTTATTCCTGCAATAATTCTCCCTGGAAGTTATTGTCCAGTAGCCAAAGTGAGACAAAGATTGTCTGTAAGATGTAAAAATTCAAAAGGCTTTTCAAATCTTTCTAAAGCTTGGTGCTTTTTTATGATCGTATTGCCGAATAATTGTGTTAGTTACGCGTTCACCTTACTTGTGTGTACTGTGTAACCAAACTATTTTAGACTACGTTTTTACTTGGAGCATCTGAATATGATAGTTTTTTTATTCTACTTACTTTTTACCATTAATTCCTCTGTAAAATGAGGGA